CCTTCTTTTAGAACATTCTAAATTTTGATTAAAAAAACCTTTTTTTCTATTTGTATCAGCGGAACTAGTAAATAACAGACAATTTTAGCACGTTTTTTTGGTATGACACACATTAATTTGAAAAATCATGCAAAATAGAAATAATTATCGGATGTTAATGAAACTTTCAGAAACTATTCACAGATGATCAAAATTATTATAAATATGTTTTTTTTTTATGAAAGTCATGGTAGAAATATTTTTTAAAATATTTATTCCCCCATAACTAATTTTTGAAAACGCTAGAAATTCGATCGCATCGGTTTTAGTGATTACAATAATTAAAAAGCACAGGGCTTTGAGGAATGCAAATCATGTTTTTTTTTTTTTTAATTGGATCGCAGTACCTGAAAATCAGCTCTGAATTGTAACATACAAAACTCAATAAAACAAAGATATTATTTAATTTCAAATGCTTTTATTTGCTTTTAGTTGTTTTTATGAATATGGACAATATTTTCTGAAAGCAAAAAAATTTTTTCGATGAAAATGAATTTTTAATACAATTATTTGTTATTTCATTAATTATAATAGATTTTACATTTAAGTTGTTAAAATATTATAAAATTAGTTAAAAGTCAAGATCGGCTTTCATAAGTGTCCTTATGAGATAGATCTTTTTTTAAGCGTTGTAAATTGTATCATTTTGACTAATCAGAAGATACCCAGTAATTAAGAAATGTAATTTTGTGCTTATAATCGAGCTGTAATTATAAAATACGGAAGACCAACCAGAATATAATTAAGTTGCGTTATTTGAGTTAAGCATTGTTCTCCGCTGTTAAGGCCTTTACTTTTTAAAAAAACACATGTGGAGAAGTTAATTTGATTTTTTCAATTTCAACTGAGAAGGGTACCTACAAGTATCAGTATCATCTTATGAAATTTATATGATCTTATTTTTATATTAATCTCAGTTACGACATTTTTCCATAAATGAAATATCAAAATTAATAATAAAATGAATGGAAATACAAATAACAGTAGAATGTAATAAATGTACATAAAATTATGGTATTTTATGTACAATTCTGATAAAATTTCATAAGAAAGGTACCTATAAATTAATTAGATACCTTTCTTAAGAAATATGAAATTTAATGTCCTCTTAACAGTTTTATTTCAATTTCTTTTACAATATATTTCCCATAAAGCATCATAAACGTAAAGGTGAAAGCTAAGTACAAAAAAAAAAAAATTACACGCTGAAAGTTTTCGTTAAAAATAACGGGTAAATAATTTGTTCACGTAAATGTAAATTATTTCACTTTTCTCCTTCCGTAGAACAAATTAGCCTCATGGAATTCGTAAATATATCATTCATCACATGTCAAGAGACGCGAAAGTTTATGACCTGCTTTGTTTTATTTTCAAATTATATCTTTTTTTTTGGCACAAAAGCTAAGTTAAGTTTGGTTCAAAATATTTTAAATAAACATTATAATTTCTGATTTTCTTAAAATAAGTTTTGAAAAAATGATAATTGATATTTAAAAAAATTCAAAAAGTCAGATTTCCATTTTTTTTAAAATGAAAAAAATGGTCAATTTTGCTGACTCAAAAAAAAACTAGATTTTTAACGAAAATTTCGGACGTGCTAGGAACGATTAAAAAAATGGAAAAAATACCCCCAAAATACTTTGACCTTTCCTCTTAATAATAAACATTTAGACGATAAAATTTTGTTTTCGTCAAGTTTGGCGTCTTTTTCATTATGCTATGCTCTTTTTTTAGCGATCTCATGGAGGTACCTATTCTAACTCAATGTTACCAATCTTGGTTCAAAAGCATTAATCATTCATTTCTTTCATGGTCAAAGCCACATTTTTGGCTTCATTAGACAGCAACATTTTATAAACATCAAATATATTACTTATCATTGGAACATACTTCCATTCACTCACATTGATTCAATTCTTACATTTTCAGTTTGTCAGCCAAAGTTCTTATCACAAAATCATTTACTTGGTTTAAAAAAATAAAGACTGGTAATGATAAAAGATTCCTGGTTTAGGGAAAATGTGAATCAGTCCACATCAAGCAACAAATTTGATGCAGACATTATGCATTGCTTCTTTAGTCTCAAATCATTCACAACCCTCACTCAAACCAACTGCTTTCAATTTCATAGATTGTCATTTGAGCATTATATAATATAAAGGTTGCCATACAGAAATTGTCATCTTAGCATCTCATTTTAACAGATATTTGTATAATTTTGGTAAATATATCATAGATGGCCACTTGTATTTGAGATAAACCTGTCTACTAGGGTGGCTAGCTAATCCCTAATGCAGACACTCGCTCAGGCACATTTGTGTTTATTCAACATCCACAGATGTGGTTTATATTGCAACTATGCTGAGCAGACCTTAGTTACAGTTTCTGGGAAAGAGCATGTTATCTAGCATGATTAACAATTTGAACAAGGCCAGCACTCTCAAACTCTCAGCCACAATGACTTGTGACAGCACAGCTATTGATGGCTCACAAGAGTTCCCTACCCAATTTTGCTCACAAGGCTGGGGTCAACTAGTGGTATGGTTTTCAGGTACTTTCCAAAAAGGTGCTGCACGCTGGGATCATCCCTCTCCAGATCAATAACACCAGGAAGTCTTCTTTCTGACAAATCAACCCTGGTGAGATTCGAACCCAGGGTCTCATGATCAGAAAGCAAACATTCTAACCACTTGGCCATGCACCCATATATTTGTGAAATAGCCATTGGCTTCAACCATGGCCGCCAGACGACTTCAGAATCTCTTGCAACTCTTCTGGATGGTCTTCTTCTTTAAGACATCCATGACTGTATTCTGCTTGTGTGGTATGGTGCAGACTCCTATTGCCAGACATAGGGTCTACTAGTAGCCACCTTCTTGACCCAGAGCAACACTACCTCTTCAAGTCACTTGACATAGGCTTCCATGTTGACTCTGAAGTCTTCTAAGAGTTCTTATGATAATGCTCAGTGAGTTTTTATGAGTTGCCATATCTTCAAAATCACCATTAGACTCATCCAACTCTTTCCAAATCCTCTAAAATGTTCTTAGAGTTTCCAGTCCATGCTGTTTCCAAATTTCTGGCAAAGTGTATTGTGTCATGGTGCCCAACTGACCCATATACTAAACTGTTCAGTTGACAAAAAGCAAACAATGTGCATGTATGAAATTAAAAATATAAAATGGCAATAATTTACTCATCAAACCCTGTGTGTGTGTGTGTGTGTGTGTGTGTATATATATATATATATATTTGAAGGAAATAAATAGTACACAAAGTAAAATGGAAAATTATAAACAGGACTAGAAATGTAAAACTTGGGATGACCCATGCCCTTTATGCCTCCATGAGAAACTGCACATTATTAAGTTTCTAAATAATAAAAATCTATTAAACAATAGACATGAGTTAACAGCTTTTTGCCGACATCAAATTTTTGCATTGAATAATTAGCTTAAAAACAAGCATACAATAATATAATTTTTATAATCTATAGCCCTAATAAATAGTTTGAATACCCTACAAAAATAGATAACCCTTTATAAAGTCGTCAAAAAGGCAGTTTTTATATACACAAAAGCCTTTCATAAAGAAATAAAATAAAAAAATAAATAAATCTCCATAGACATGTAAACCAGACTGGGCGAAAACATCTTCCGTTTTAAATTTAGACACCCCTACCTTACCCTGACATGACATCCATGAATGTAACTCTATACTGATACATATTATTAACACCCAACACACACCCCTATTTAAACAATCGCCCTGGCTGTTACCATGGAAATTTTGATTTCAATTATGGCTATGCTATTAAAACACATAAATTTCAGAAATAAGTTATTCCAAAAAAAAAAAAAAAATTTTGCTTGAAGATGGAATCATATTTTTAAATAAATAATTATATTTATGCTCTACTTTTGTATTGAGCACTATTTTTTTTTAAAAATAACAAAAATACTAAAGAACTTTTGGATTATTTACCTAACCAGTTCTTTCCTATATATATATATATATATATATATATATATAGAGAGAGAGAGAGAGAGAGAGAGAGATATATTGTCAGTATGTACAGAGATAAATTGAAAAAAAAATATTAAAAAATTTTCACCAACACATTACAAGAAGTCCTACACTTCGATCTAATGCTTAAATAAATACACATTATTATGAAGGAGAGTTGTGGCTTTTAACAGTCAATAACTTGTAACTAATACCTTTTGTCCTTTCTTCAAAGTATAAAGGGAAAGAAAAATCATTTTTCTTTTAACTGAAATCATTGAGGAAAGGTTTTGAAGGTTTTGGATTAACTTTCAAAGTTTTCAATAAGATGAGAAAAAGAAATGACTATGAAAATCAAGAATAAAAAGCAGATTCCATAAGAGGCTTTGTAGAAATCAATAAATGTGTGTTTATTGCTAAGGAGGGAAACAAAAAGTATTTGAGATTTTCTTTGCCAAGATAAACAAGTGAAAGACGAAGTGGAAATCAAAAGCTACATCTTAAACAATAAACAAAATGTGGATGTCATTCTTTAAGAGCTTCTTAATTTTATTGTCATTGGCAAATTTGATGTTAACTCTTCAAAACCAAAGTAATCCAAATATTAAGGTTTCCTGTTTAATGATTGAATTTCTTGAAATTAATATCAAAGTGATATTGGAAACTTTTTCAGATAAGTTCTTATTTCTCTTAATGACTAAATGTTCAAGGCCATGTCGCATTTTACTTTAAATAAGTTCTAAAGTTAAAAAGAAAAAAAAAAAAAAAAAAAAATTAACTTTTTCAGTGTTGGTATTGTTTTGTCAGTTTTTCATGAAAATGTTTATAAAAATATGCAATGATTTCTTGTTACACAAAGACTAATTTTTTTTTTCTTTTCTTTTCTTTTAACCTTCACTTCTGTGGGGGGTCAAAATATTAAAAAAAAAACAAAAAAAAACAAACAAACCATATAGGATGGAAGTTTGGAACGACTTGCAAGGGAGAGTGAACTTCTGGAAAAAGCATATGGACATTACTTTGACCTCAAAATAGTGAACAACGACATAGAAGAAACAATCAACACATTGGAGCAAGCCATTAAGGATGTGTCTATAACACCACAGTGGGTGCCAGTCAGCTGGGTGTACTGAAACTGGGTGTCTACAAGTCACACATCCTCAGTGACTGGTCAGGTTTCAAGCATTTACATCTTTGCTGCAACGAAGCATTTCTTCTGGCTATCTGCCAAACAATTACAAACAAATCCATTTTAAGGAGGGCCAAAAATCCTATGGCTCTTCTTCCAGGCCATCAATCATTTTGTATTGAATATATATATATATATATATATATATATATATATATATATATATATATATATATATATAAATAAAAAAATTGAAAAAAAAATTAAAAAAAAAAATCCTTGCAATTTCTCGCTCTGCTTAACTGGTGACATGGTTAATTCAGTTACATTGATTTGAACAAATTGAAAACAAATGTAAAAGAGAATGAAAAGTTGGAAGAAAAAAAAATTATAAACTTGAAAAGGAATAAAAAAATTAAAAGAACCCAAATGAAAATCCATTTCTCATCACCTTGTCTCGATATCTGAGACCGGGGCATCCAATTGCTGAGCTTTCCTCCCTTTTATCACAGGCAATCACACGAAAGAGAATAACAAACATACAAAACCAAACCAAAAAAAAAAAAAGACATTACTGCTGAAGAGTATAAGCAAGGGGAATAACTCTTTGCTAGTTGTTTGCTATTACAGATGTCTCAGCAGAAACTGTGTTTATTCATCTTTAGTCTTCTTTCTAGAATCTTTTTAGGGACATTTACTCTAAAGAATTACATATTCTCAGGTGATGATAGAAAAAGCACAGAATAACTGTTTAAATGCAACAATGGTTTCTCAGTTTTTTTTTGATTATTATTAAATGCATTGACTATTCTGTTTGACTCCCTGCTTGCCAGATATTCTTCAATTTTGACAATTCAGCATTGAAATTATTTCAGTCTAATTTCTTTAGCAATTTATTACAATTTTAATCATACACCTTTCTAAAGAATAAAATATTCTTTACATTCCAGTATCTTAACAATATTAATTTCTCCTTCATTAATCAACACTAAAAATTTTCAAACACATTTATGAACTTATACCTTGAAAATATCTTAGACTTTGTACACTTAACTTTATAAACCAATATTTATCTGCTGTTATGTTAACAGCATACAAAAAAAAAAAAAAAAAAAAATTTAAATAATGGAATTTTTTTTCTAATTTCCTTTCCAGATATTTTTGTTTATAAATGAAACTTTTTTTTTTTTTTTTAAATAGTTTACACTCCTTTATACATTGGTATCCTCCAGAATATTCATTATCCAAGTGTCAGAAACATTAAGCAAGATTTTACAGATACCAAAAATTTACCATTAAGGAAAAGTGTCTCCCTTCCTCCCCTAAGTATTAGGCACTATTTACTGCATTTCTTTCGAGGTTTACTGATATTATATCCAGAGAAAGAGCATATAAAGTGAATTTAAAAAAAAAAAAAAAAAAATATGGTATTCATTTACTTTTTAGTCAATTATACATGTACTGTTTTAAGAGTAGATTTTTGCCTCTTATGATGATAGGTATTCACCATGAAGTGTTTCTAAGGCATTTCATAATCCGGTTGGAATCATCTGTTTATCAAGTTATTTTTTCCTCCCCCTCCCCAAAAAACTTGTAAAATATTTGGATATATTATAGCCACAATTTTCTATAATCTCCTGCCAGAAGGGTGCTATAAAATGTGCCACCTCACCTAGTTTTTCTTTTAGGTAAGATAATTTATACAAATATCATGCTTACTTAATAAGTAATTCTAAAATTTCATCTTCCATGTATTATGGAATAGTCTACAGACCAAAATAATATTTTGGAAAGAAACAAAAAATGTTAGACTAAGAAATGTGTTGAGCCAAAAAAAAAGATAGTACTTACCAAGTCTGGTACAAGTATGATCAGTGAAAGGTGTAAGTGTTTAGCAAATATACTTGATTTAAGTTCCCCTACCCACCAACATTAAATTGTGCACTTTACAAGGTAGAAATGGGAAATTTAAAGACAGCAAATGCCTTCTATTACTTGATGTGCAAAACCAGATTGTATTTTTTTTTTCATAAAATATTTTCATTTTAGGAGAGAATCTGGTCAGTCCTACAAATTCCTCAGATAAAATATAAAGCCATTAGTCTTAAAGCAATGTCACTTAAATTTATTATTATTATTATGAAGAAACTAACTAACTAAGCCTGAAAAGTTATTTTCCCTGGGCAACTCAATCCTTATTTACTGTTTTGCCCAGAGAAATGCAACAAAATGGTTAAAGTAAAAATCTATTTCAACCACTGTTATTTCACTTTTAACATTATGTAAAATGGCTTTAAAAATTTCAAATCTATACCAGGAACTTTTTTTTTTTTAATAAAAACTTTTTTATGAAAAACAAATAAAAGAAAGAAATAATATGACAAACTTGAAAGAAACTCTGGCATTAATCAGATACAAAAGAAAGTGAAGAGGCAAGTCTGGCTTGGTTTTATATATTTGGTGATATTTAAATGAAAGAAAAAAAATATTTGAATATATCAGTGGTTCACCATTAATTGATTAATGTTTTAATTTTTGCTGATTTTTAAAAAAATTAATTTGATTCATTTCATTGTACAAATCAAAAACAGATTTTTTTTGCAAATAAACTTAAAATTTTACTTTTAAATACTAAAAGAAAAAAGAAAAAAAATTCACTTTGGTGCTAATTCTCCATGAATTGTTGTAATTTTAAAATGCACATGTTTGTGTCTTCTCAGTTACAAAAGAAAAAATTTTGGTGTTTTGCTCTAATATTTCTGGTCTTCCAGATCCCAAGTGAACATTTGACCTCCCAGCAAAGAATGGGATCTCTCCCACACCTTTTCTTACTAAGTACTGAATTTTGAGTTCTTTTCTTTTTTTCTATAACTTTACTGGAAAGAAAAGCCAACTGGGAAACAGAGACTGAAATTTTTTTTTCGGGTTTTAACAAAGAAAAATTTATAATCAACACACATCTTTTCTGCTTGCTACAACACTTCCCCCACCAAATAAAATTTGTGGATTAATTTCTATTCCAATTAGGAAAAAAGTAGACTGGGCCATTTTATTACAACTCTTTTCTCAAATTCAGATGTGATATTTGAGTTGCATAGAAATATTCACAAATTTATCTGAACTTATCTTGACTTTTTTTTTTTTTTAAATTTAAATGCTGTTAACATTAATTCAAACACGTGTGTTCTCTAATGGTGTTTCTATGACAAGGTATTGGTGAAGAGTAAGCTAATTTTCACAGAATTATGTGAACATGATCAGAGTATACACAGTGTTACATGAAGAAATTACAAACAAACAAGGTGAGGATATTAGTCAGTCTGAATAAACTCCTGGATACCAATGATGCCTCATCTCAAAAATATCGATCACCCTTTCTACTTAGAAATATGTTACAGTGATGCTTTGCAACAAGCAAGAATGTTAAGAGTCCTATGAAAAGGACGTCTATTTATTTATCGAGTGATGAGCAGCATTTTCTGTCCACAAATAAAATATTTGTTCTGGTCTTGCTTTTTTGAGCTTCATTAGCCATTTTAGCAAATATGCCAAGATGTGCAATAAGAGACTCGCTCGGAAATGTGGACAGATAGCAGGCAGGTCATGGAGGACATTACTACAATTAAATGCGAAGTTGTGTATTGTTATTGTGTCTCTAAACAGAAGCAGATGACATTTTTTGTGCCAATTTTAGTAGAGCCATCAACAGACAGAGGGCAAACTGATGTCTGAAGAATTTGTAGATAATAAAATTCTTTGGTTTACTTCTTCCAACTTTGCCTTGAGGGAAGTTCTTATAATGCAGTTTTAGAATTTGATTTATTTCCCCACAGAAAATCTGTCTCTTAATTATTTCTGTATACAAATGTGGGCAGTACATGTGTATTCTTGTAAAATCAACTCTTATGGACTATTCTGGGTAAGTGAATAGGGGTGCAGAGTTCGTATGCTTAGCTCAACCAAAAAAAAAAAAAATATAAGATTGGTTTTAGTCTAGAGAAGAGAAAATGCTACCTAGTTAGATTGCCGTAAATTGTACCAGATTTTTTTTTTTTTTTATTAATAATAAAAACTTGGAATACTAGGAAAATAAATATGACTTGAAAAAAAAAAAAAAAAAAAAAATGACTTTAGATGCATTTTATACTTATGTCTGTGTGTCTTGGTTCTGAATAAAATTTTGTGTGTTTTAGATTAAGTTATACTTAAGAATTTTGTTTAAAATTGCTCAAATTGATCAATGCAGAATTATTTGAAAATTTCTTTTGTCAGTTATGTTTGATTTCCTGTATTATTCATACAATTTGTATTACCGACTGAGTTAAGAATGTATTTTTTTAAATTCCACAACGCGTTGTTGTTATTAGTCTTGTGTTTTGCATTGTTCTCAGATATCCTCCCTTTGTTTGCCTTTTTTTGCAAGGCAAACAGACTCGAGAGTAATTCTTGTCCAAACATTCAAAGACCACTTTCCTAGATTTCACTCCTATTACTCTCTACAAATTTGTTAAATTTATTAAGTAATGTTTTATGTAAAATGTTACATTGAATAAAATGTTGACTTTTTAGTCACAGAAAACACATTTTAGATCCAAAATTAATGGATTCATTTCAGTTATAACCAGAATTGGTTAAACTTAAGCACTTTTAAGGCAGACTGCAATAATGAGAGCTTTTCTCATTAATAATAATAATATTATTTAATATATTTTCTTAACTTCATAAAGAAAAAAAACTACAAAAAAAACTGCAAAAAACTTCTGTTAGTGTTGAACAGTTTTAAGAATGCTGTCTGTGTTTTAAGATGTCAAATTATGCTTCTTTTTTTTTTTTTTATTTATTTACTTCACCTTAAAAGCACCTATATGCCCCCCTCCCACCCACTGCCCTAAATGCTGAAATGTGTATCTTGTGGCTTATTAAGGTTTTATTATATTAAAAAATTTCTGGCTGACAAAAAATATTCTCATTTTCTAAGAAAAAAAAAAAAAAAAAAATTCCACA